TCATCGTGACTTATCGCCTCTGTCCCCCAGGCTGGAGTGCAACGGTGCGATCTCGGTCCTCAGCAACTTCCACCTCCCGGTTCTCAAGCGATTCTCCTGCCTCAGCCTCCCGAGTAGCTGGGATTACCAGGCATGTGGCACCACGCCCGGCTAATTCTGTATTTTTAGTTGAGACAGGGTTTCACCATCTTGGCCAGGCTGGTCTCAAACTCTTGACTCAGGTGATCCACCTGCCTCGGCCTCCCAAAGTGCTGGGATTACAGCATGAGCCACTACGCCCGGCCTTGTATACTGTTTTAATCAATCTTACTTGAAGTCATATTATAAAATATTTTATAGTACCTGTGTTATTTTGCTAATTTGTTTTTTTTTTAAATACCTTAGGCATCCCAGCTCTTTTTATCACACTAGGAATTATACATCTTGGACCAGTTTCTCCACAGCAAATCCACACCTCTGCAAAATAAATGGAAAATTGAAACAACTTATAATATTCTTTTAAATATTTGTCACAAGAACACCATTTTCCCTGTATTTCATTTCAAACACAATGGCACAATACACTTTGAAATACCTCTGATGTATTAAAGGGATTAAAAAAATCACTCCACAAAATTAATAAGTTAATACTATTATTAATGCCTTGTGGTAATTAACAGAAAAAATTCTATCAAATTAGGATACTTAAAAAACCAATGTAATATTTTAGGGCAGCATTACTCTTTTTTTTTTTTTTTGAGATGGAGTCCTGGCTCTGTCACACAGGCTGGAGTGCAGTGGCAAAGATCTAGCTCACTGCAAGCTCCGCCTCCCGGAGTTCACCCATTCTCCTGCCTCAGCCTCCTGAGTAGCTGGGACTACAGGCGCCACCACCTGTCGGCTGTCCGGCTAATTTTTTTTTTGTATTTTTAGTAGAGAAGAGGTTTCACCGTGTTAGCCAGGATGGTCTCGATCTCCTGACCTCGTGATCTGCCTGCCTCGGCCTCCCAAAGTGCTGGGATTACAGGCGTGAGCCACTGTGCCTGGCCAACTTTTTTCCTAGTTGTTAATTTTAGCAGAATTTTAGGCAAGACATATCTACAACTCTGAATCTGTACTACATTATATGACTTCATTCATATAATTCATCTCTATGACTCATAATTCCATCATTCTAATATTGTTAGCTCCCATATTGGTGTATTCACTTTCAGTCTTCTTATGATTATGCATACATATTTGACATAGTTATAATCACACTTCATACATAATTAATTCATATGGTAAGCTTCTGCCCATATTAACGTAATCTTCATTGCTATCATTTTCACCTTTTTTTTTTTTTTTTTTTTTTGAGGCAAGGTCTCGCTCTGTCGCCCAGGCTGGAGTGCAGTGGCACAAACTCAGCTCACTGCAGCCTCCGTCTCCCAGGCTCAAGCGATCCTTCCCCCTTGGCCTTCCAAAGTGCTAGGATTTCAGGCACAACACTATGGCCGGTTAAACCTTGCATTTTTTGTAGAGCTGGGTTTCCTCATGTTGCCCAGGCTGGTCTCGAACTCCTGGGCTCAAGTGATCGGCCCGCCTCAGCTTTCCAAAGTGCTGGGATTACAGTATCATTTTTAAAACTGCGTATTTCATTATTTTAAAAACGATGCTCTTGAGTATTTAGCTATTTCCAGTTTTGTTTCATGTTAGTAAAACAAAATTTTGCTAAAAACGTTGCTAAAAATGATCATCATACTAGTTTAGTCTTAACACCCTGTCTTCTTGTCCTGTCTAGTTTTTGGTACTGCTCTCCTCGTATTCCCAAATAATTATCTTCATCTCCTCCTATTCCCATCTCCATGTTTACTTGCATCAGTGCTCCTCAAACATCTCAGAATGCAAGCCATTAGACTTCAATTTCTTTTTTTTTACTTCATATATTTATCTTATCATCCTCCTGCTGTATTATTCAAATATAGCTTTTTGTTTATTTCTTCCAAGTACGGCCAAAATAATTATCTTTGAATAGAAGCCTCAAATTGTTTATTATGCTTTCAAAATAATTTTTATAAGAAAATATACATAAGGAAGGGTCTTGCATAAAACAATAAGAGAATGTCATTAACCAAGGACTATGTTTAATCCAATTCTGGAGTTCCTGAGGTCCAATTTTTAAATAGGCTCTTTTAAACAGTTAGTGAATAAACAGTTATTAAATACCTACTATACGTCAGGAAGTGCCTAGAGATACAAAAAGATTTTTCAAATGTTTCATTTTCATAAACACATATATAATGTAATTGCCTGTTACTTCCCTCTCTGTTGAGCCCATCACAAAGACTCTTAATCTGGAGTCCCAGGACCACAATGACTGTCTGCCAATTCCCTGAAACTGTGTGTAAATATCTTAGGGTTTGTGCATTTGAGGTTTTCATCCAGCCATCAAAGAGAACTATGCCATCCGAAGGGTCGAGAAACTCCTCTCTAGTGTTTACACGCTGGTTTGTTTAAAACATGTCAAATCTAACCTTAGAGTTTAGGGGAGCCAACAAAGGATTTCCAGAGTGTTATCTGTAGGGTTTCACCTCTTAATGTGCCCAGTCTCCCTAATTCTTGAGGAGCGATAGCCCTTTCTTAAACATCTTTGCATTTTCAGCACCAAAATAAGCTCCGTTCAATATTTTATGATGAAATTCGTCATAGAACATTTACATTCCGTTGGCTGCCTTCCTCATCTGATGAGCCCAGGGTAAGCGGGGTCTAGGTCACGGTTGTCACTCCCTACACAGATGATTCCAAAGGGTTTGTTGGGTTTGGGGTGATGACAAGGGGCGGCGACGAGGGCAATTCAATCGAAGCTTCCTGGGCCTCTCTGGGAGTCAGACCCCGATCCTCGAATTCGCATTGCCCATGGAGGAAATAATAAGGGTTGTTATTTACAAGGGCGCTGGTTGAAGAAAAGGGAAGGCCCGGAGCTGCCCAGCGAGTCGGCGATGAGGACCCAGGCAGTGCCTGGGGCTCGGCCACCCGCCCTCCCCTCGGGTCGAACACAGCTGGCGTCACGGCCACTCACTTGGTAAAGGCCTCTCCCAGGTCGATCACGACCGCCGTCTTCTCTCCGCCGCTCCCCAGGCCCTCGTAGAGCGGCATGGTAGGAAGGAAGACTGAGAGAAAAGGGTCGCAGCCTCCGCCGCGAACAAGCTTCGGCGCTCGGGGGGCGGGGCCGGGGCTCCGGCGCTCGGGCGTCGGCGACGGCGGGGGCCACGAGCAGCGGCGGCGGCGCGCCGGACCCGGGCTGTCCCAGGCTGTGCCTCACCCCGCGTTGGACCAAAACTCTTGCAGGTGCGGCCGTCTCCAGGACTAGGGGAAAAGAGGCGCTGGCAGGCGCGAATCCGAGTGCGGGTGTGCGGAGGCCGCGGCGATCAGGCGCGCCGGGCGCCCCGAGGGGGCGGAGCCGGCCTCCCTGTCATTCCCGCCCACCACGCCCCAAAGCCTCACCCACGCGCGGCTGTGAAGAGGTTCGGTCTCAGCTCACTGTGAAAAGGTCCCTGAGGACCTGGCGGCGCAGGGGTCCCCGAGAGACGACGCAAACCCGAAGCTCTGATTCACGCTCTTGGGGGGCAAAAGATGCTGAGCCCCTATTCTGTGCTAAGCGTTTTGCCTAATATTTAATCTTCTCAAGAAATACCAAGAATATGTGTTTTCTTATCCGTGGGAACCGACGCTCAGAGAGATTAACTTTCCCGGCGTCCCACGGCAGAGCCAGGAGCAAACCCGCCGACTTCCTAATTGCAAAGCCTATGCTACTGATGCTTTAGAGAATAATACGTACAGACCATGCTTTAGTTAGTAGTCTTTCTGAAAGTTTTTATTTTACTCCAGAATTAAGCTACAGTAGCATCGTGAATCTTGAATCTATCTATGGAGGAGCGGTCGGGATGGTTTAGTAGAAGGAGCATTGAAGCAAAGGTCCCTATTAGGTTGGTGCAAAAGTAATTGCTATTTTTGTCGTTACTTTTAACGTTTACATTACTGTTTACATCTTTGTCAGTTCACAGCTTTCTGTGAAAATATTTTTTTCTGCAAATATTAGCTCTAACTGTATCTATGCATAGGAGTGGAAAAGACTGTCAAAGGAGAGGCTCTACAATAAGAAAAGAGGTTCAAGGGTAAATAGGTGAGGAATAGCAACATTTAGCGGATGTACTGGGTTGAACGTCCCTCCAAAATTCTTGTCCACTGGGAACCTCAGAATGTGACCCTATTTGGAAATAGATTATTGGCAGATGCAATCAAGTTAAGATGAGGTTATACTGTATTAAGATGGTCCCAACTATCCGAGCGCAGTGGCTCACACCTGTAGTCCCAGCACTTTGGGAGGCTGAAGCGGGAGGATCCTTAAGCCCAAGAAGTCTAAGGCTGTAGTGAGTCAGGATTGTGCCGCTGCACTCCAGCCTGGGCAACAACAGAGTGAGAGCTTGTCTCTCTCAAAAAAAAAAAAAAAAAAAAAAAGGCCCTACTCCAATGGTTGGTAACAAGAGTTAGTGGGGTAGTTGGGGATAAGCTATTTCCATAACAAAAACTAATGCCGTAACAATGCAGAAATTTGGAATGCGATATTAGTAAAATTCATGTTTAAGTCCAAATTACTGATCAGTGATCCTCCTTGAAAGCAAATTGCTGGAGATAGGAGGATGAATTTGGAGTTATGATGGGGAAGAAAACTGTAAGAAACGTGGGAAAAGATTAAAATTTTTGCTTAATAGGGTCAGAGTATTTGAATAGGACCCCTCACTTGGGTTCAGATTCTGTTTCTGCCACTTTCTGTCAAGTTCCTAATACCTCTGATCATCCACTTCCTTATCGGTAAACTGTTCTGCTGCTTCACAGGTAGTGTAAGGCGATCAATTGGGAAAATGTTTCTGAAACTATTGAAAATGATTCGAAGTTTGTTATTACCGAATCGTCCTCTGTGTTTCCATGACAGCTCACGCAGCGTGTATGTGTTTCCTAGCGGACTGCTTGTAACAAGAGTACCGGACAAATGGTGGTGTGAGGCAACAAACATTTATTCTCCAGCACATCGAGGTGAAAGTCAGAGAATCAAGGGTGCAGCACGAGCAAGTCATGCCGTTCTTTGAAGGCTCTGAGGAGATCCTTTCTGTCTTTTTTTTCCTTTTTCCTTGTGAGGCTGAGCTGCGGTCTGTTGCCCAGGGTCGATCCCCAGCTGCACTGCACGCCGTCCTGTCTCGCTCTGGGTTCAAGGTCATTCTCCTGCACTCAGGCCTCTCGGAGCAGTGGGATTACATTGGCGCCTTGCGACACTACTCAGCTATTTATTTTTATTAATTGTTTTTTATTTTTAGTAAAGAGGGGTGTCCACCAGTTGCGCAGGGCTGGTCTCAAAACTCATAACCTCAGGTGGATCCGCCTGCGCCTGTGCTTTCGCAAAGTGGGGAACACTGCCCCAGCGCCGAGCCTTTTTTTTTTTGTTGAGGCACAGGTTTCGCTCCTTGGTGGGCTCAGGCGGGAGTGGCAACTGGCGTGATCTCAGCGTTACCACATAACCTCACACTCTCTGGTTGCAAGGGCTGAGCTCCCTGCTCTAACCTCCCTAGTAGCTGGGATTGCAGGCATGTACCACCACGCCTCGGCCTCCCAAAGTGCTGGGATTACAGGTGTGAGCCACTGCACCTGGCCTTTTTTTTTTTTTTTAAACAGAATCTCTCTCTCTCATCCAGGCTGGCGTGCAGTGGTGCAACCTTGGCTCACTGCACTCCAGACTGGGCTCAAGCTATTCTCCTGCTTCACCTTCCCAAGTAGCTGGGACTGCAGGCATGTGCCACCTTGCCTGGCTAGTTTTTGTATTTTTTTGTAGAGAGGGGTTTCACTATGTTGCCCAGGCTGGTTTTGAACTACTGAGCTCCGGTGATCCGCCAGCCTCAGCCTCCCAACGTGCTGGGATAACAGGCGTGAGCCACCATGCCCGACCTTCTTTCTTGCCTTTTCCTAGCTTCTGGTGGTTGCTGGCAATCCTTGATGTTCCTTTGTTTCTAGATACACAACTCCAATCTCTGCCTCTGTCATCACTTGGCCTTCTTCCCTGTGCCTCTGCAGTTTTCACATTATGTACTCCTCCCTGTGTCTTCACATGAGTTTCCTTCTGTGTTTGTCTCTGTGTCGATTTCCCTCCTTTTTTCTTGTTTTTCTTTTTTTTTTTAATTCTGTATTCTGCTGAACAAATTTCTCTCTTCTTGTTTATTTTTATTTTATTATTATTTTTTGAGATGGAGTTTCACTCTTGTCGCCCAGGCTGGAGTGCAGTGGCACGATCTCAGCTCACTGCCACCTCCGCCACCTGGGTTCAAGCGATTCTCCTGCCTCAGCCTCCCAAGTATATAGTGCCTGGAATTACAGGCACCTGCTACCATGCCTGGCTAATTTTTTGTATTTTTACTAGAGACGGGGTTTTGCCATGTTGGCCAGGCTGGTCTCAACTCCTGACTTCAAGTGATGCACCCACTTCAGCCTCCCGAAGTGCTGGCATTACAGGTATGAGCCTCTGCGCCCGGCCTCCCTCTTCTAAGGATATCAGTTACTGGCTTAGGGTCCATCTTAACCCAGTATGACTTCATCTTAACTTGATTACATCTGCAAAGGATCTAATTCCAAATATAGTCACATTCTAAGATTACTGGTGCACAAAAATTTTGGGGAGGACACTATTCAACCCAGTACACAAGCTAAATGTTGGTGTTCTCCATGGTTCTGCTCTTGAACCTCTTTTCTTATTGTACACCCTCTCCTTTGCCAATCTCTTCCACTCCCATAGACACAGCTAGAGATAGTATTTGTTGAGTTCTATTTGCTAGCTCTCCTTGCTATACATAATCCCATTTATTCCTCACAACAACTTTATGAGTTAAGTGTTACTGTTACTGGGAAGGGGTCTCAATCCAGACCCCAAGAGGGTTCTTACACCTCGCACAAGAAATAATTCAGGGCAAGTCCACAGAGTAAAATGAAAACAAATACATTAAGAAAGTAAAGGAATAAAAGAATGGCTACTCATAGGCAGAGCAGCAGCGTGGGCTGCTTAACTGCTTATACTTATCGTTACTTCTTGATGATATACTAAACAAGGGGTGGATTATTCATGGATTTCAGGGAAAGGGTTGAACAATTCCTGGAACTGAGGGTTCCTCCTCCTTTTAGACTATATAGGGTAACTTCCCGATGTTGCCATGGCATTTGTAACTGTTGTGGCACTGGTGGGAATGTCTTTTCATGTGCCTTGACATTATATTCTTCATGTTTCTTTTGTTTGGGATTAAGTGAACTTGGACCTATGGTTTTATAGTTTTCATCAAATTTGGAATATTTTGACCTTTGTTTCTTCAAGTAATTTTTCTATATTGACTTTTCTCCTTTGAGTAGTCCAAGTACATATGTTATTAGGTGGTTTAAAGCTTTCTCATAGCTCACTGATTCTTCTTTTTCCTTTTTCTCACTTACATTTTTTTCTCTGTGTTTCTTTTTGTATAGTTTCTACTGTTTTGTCTTCATGTCTATTAATCTTCTCTTTTGCAGCATTTAATCTGCTATTAATCCCATCCAATGTATTTTTCACCTCAAAATTGTATTTTTAACTTCTAGAAGTTCAATTTAGGTCTTTTTCTTTGTATCTTTTTATTTATTTCACCCAGGCTGGAGTATAGTGGTGTCATCTCCCCATTGCAACTTCTGCCTCCTGAGTCAAGTGATCCTTCCACCTCAGCCACCCAAGTAGCTGGGACTACAGGCACATACCACCATGCCCAGCTCTTTTTTTTTTTTTTTTTTTTTTGTGGAGAGACAGGATTTTGCCATGTTACCCAGGCTGCTCTTGAGCTTCTGGGCTCAAGCAATCCACCCATCTCAGCCTCCCAAATTGCCGGGATTACAGGTGTAATCTGCGCCCAGACGTTCTTTGTATCTTCTATGTCTCTCCTTAAACATGCTTGTGTTTTCCTCTACCTTCTTGAATGTATGGACTATAAATATAATTATTTTAATGTTCTTGTCTACTAATTTTTTTTTTTTTTTTTTTTTTAGTGTGATGGGGTTTCACCATGTTGGCCAGGCTGGTCTTACCTCAGCCTCCTGAGTACCTGGGACTACGTGTGTGGGCCACAATGCCCAGCTAATTTTTTTTTTTTTTTTTGAGATGGAGTCTTTCTCTGTCTTCTAGGCTGGAGTGCAGTGGTACAATCTTGGCTTAC